CGAAGTAAGTTCATCAAATTTATATTTCTACCTGAACTGATAAACCCCTGTTTCAAACCTTCCAGTTTGATTCAATCACTCATTCAACACCTTAATCATCGTTTTTTATTAGTTATAGTTTATCGTTTTATTATTCACACTACATATTATCGCGTCATTCTAGAAATTTTTCTTACGCCCCTCTCTCTATCTCTTTTGATATGCATGGATTTTTTTTGCAATACAAAACGACTGCTGTAGCATGCTCAGTTTATCATTGCTTTTTACTTGCACGGTCAATCATTCTGAATTCAATAAGTCCTCTCGTCCCCTACTAAAGCCGCATACTTGAGCTTGATGGGCTGATGTGAAGGCTATCAATCTCTATCAACTCTGCACGTCCGCACGAGAGGCCAAAGAGCATTTAGCTCTTCGGGGCTTGTATTTATGAAAAAAATCCTTAAAAAATAACTTTGTTAGGATAGATATTAGTCAATATTAGTCGAAACGTAAGGTCAATAAAGATCCACCACAAAACCTGGTTGGCAGAAGAACAATACACGATAACCTTGTTGGGGTTCTTCAGTACTTTTTGGACGATTCAAGAAATAAAGCAGAGGCGCGGTATTCTAAGGTGAAATAAATAACAGAAATCCGTTTATTTGAGAAAAGCGTCCGAAAAATTGGTCACTTACCATGATTTCAAATCTTACCATCTAAGAAACACCTAAGTTTTTTTCCTCATAACATAATCACCTCTGCAAGCAGTCCTCCCCAAACGGCAACAATTCTATTTTGAACTCGATCATCCTAAGTGTTTAATTTTCGAGCATCAAGCTTGTAGAAAAGCTGGAGAAGACGGGATCGCAAGAAAATAAGTCCTCTAACCAACACTTGCTCTCACTGATACTTCCACATTTGGCAGGAGTTGATGTCATCTACTAGTGACTAATTCTTCTCCTCCTCCAGCTGGGGACCTCAACTCTGTGAGATTGCCTTCGTCAGCATGATTGAGCACTATCAACTTTTCATTAGTCATAGCATCTGTTCTACTATTCTAGAAGACCCGTTATAGTCAATAAGACTGGCAATTTTCATGTCCTCAAACAGTAAATATACATTTGAACAATAATACTCCAGAAAAAGTATTCACTAAGAGCTATAATCTCAACGTTGTTAAAGAGTAGATATATACTCACTTGTCCGATCACGGGGCAAATGTGGTAATCACTGCGCCCCCTTATGTAACTAATAATAGAGCTACTAACAAAGTTATATTATAAAAAGTATTGAGTAGGAGTATAACTATAAAAGTGGTAAGAATACGTATAAAATGAGTGGCATATCGTTCTCCCTTCTCTTCCCGTTTAACTTCGAACGGAATGTTGTTTTTAGCTCACCCTTGATAGATAGCAATCCTTGGAACTTAATTAAATATGTGGTAGAGTCCCCCAAAGCTTTAGCCAAAATCTCTCCAAAAAATTGGAGTATAAATCCCCGCAAATATCTAGAAAAAGCTTATCCTTGGCAAATTTCAAGCAGTTGCCTACATCCATTATCCTGTTCATTCTCCCTTCCCATAGTTTCGGTGTATGTATGGAAATGTCGTAAAAACTCATGACATACTTTTTCCGCAATGCTCTGGAAACGTTTGACAGAGATATAATCCAAAGACTTGGAGGAATAGAAATAGAATGAGAAAGGAATAGCCATGACGTTAATTTTCATATTGAAAAATGGAAAGAATGGCCCGGTGGTCCAACATTTTTTGTTGAACTCTTCTTTTTGGCACCAGAAAGACTATTCTTGGAACTTTTGAGCATTTTATCTCAGACCTTATAAATTGAAAGTACTACTGATCAAAGGCTGTGTGAGATTCTGCCTCCGATCATTGCTGAAAAGCAAAACTGACTGGCTCCGAAAGGATAACGGACTTTTCTCCTCACTATTTCAAGCCCCCTTGCTTAGAGTGTCCATCATCTGGCCTCCTGAGGATTTCATAAGACCTAGTACAACTTATTTTAGTACTTCTCAGTTTAGGTCCCCCCTTGCAGCACATCTAATTTCCCAAGCATCCGCGATTCCCGAACACGTAATTCAACAACTCTTCGCTTTCAAAGTGCTCAACGTCTTGATCAGAATTGTTTTTGACTTACTTCCTTGTTTATAGGCAAGCGCCATTAAATAATCATAAAGTCGTTCGAAGTCTGGTCTCGGAAATCACGCATTGCTACTTCGCGTTGCTTTATTTTCGAAGCCGATGGGAGTCACTTCTTGATGCTTACTTGAGTGGCTAATTTTTGAGCTGAATTATCTTATTGATTTCTTGACACGAATCATTCAGAAGTAAGAAAAGCGGAAAAACTATGCGAGAAATAATCACAAAAGTGCTTTTAGTTTGTATCTTTTCTTCAAAAACATTAGATAGTCAAAAGCCGCATTATAGCTTCCAATTTCTCCGGAAACCTTTACAAACTTTGGCAGAGTCTCTTCTTCGAGTATATGAGTAGAGGACAAAAGATATTCATTGGTATCATTTTCAGTCTCACGAATATGAGTTACAGTACATTCGGAAGCTCTGTAAGCGTCCATTCTCCATTTCGTAAATTCTCTCAGTCGTCTAGACATCCGAAGTCTTAAGCCTACAATAACGCAAATTAGAAATTTGCCGAAATTAATTCAGAAGAAGTTTCAAAAACCCAAAAAAGTAGATTTTTCATGGATAACATGTATGTGTCAAGAATCACAACTTCGCATGTTCTGAAAATTGGCAAAAAACCTTATAGGAAACTTTGAAGGTTTTTTTTGCAAGAGTAACAAAATCTGCGATCTGACCCAATATTATATTCAGTGGTCAACTATGTGAATACAGTTTTCGTTGACCAACGGTAGTAAGAAATTTCTGTCAAACTGCTGGAAATACGACAATATTCAAGCTTTTTCCATCTTGACTTCGAGTCAAAAGTGCAGGAGAAATTTGTTTTCTTTTCTAATTTTGAGATCAACTTCGAGGACGAAGATTTCTTTCAGAAATGAACCCCAGATGTATAGAGAAATTATTCGAAGTTGCGACCGCAAGTGAAAGCTTTATTTTGGCAGTCTATTACAAATTTATGGAACATGCGACGTCTGTCATATCATCCCAACTGCTTAGAAAATGTCTCCTGTCTCCTGGACAGCGCTAGCTAAAAGTCTGTAGGAATACTTCTACTCTAAACCATCTTCTTTCGCCCACTGACCAGGCCAATTCACCCTCCTCCTCCCTCTCCTTCCCCTCCTGCTCCAAGCTTCAACCATGACTCATCATATGTTATATGTGGTATTTCTTTCCACTTCGCGTGAAATGGAAAATTAATGAAGAGTAGCTCCTGCACCAGTGAGTTCCAATACGTGTTAGCATTGTATGGTGACGCCAGGAGAGGCCTGATTACACTCCTGTGCAGATGGGAAGAAAAACAAAGTATTTGGAAGCTCTCTGAAAACTTCACGTCACAGCTCATAGCTTTTCTTATATAAGGAGTCTACGCACTGAAATGCTTTTGGTTCGAATTCGACCTTCTTCTAGCTTTGATGACGTCATACTGCATTGACTTGGTCCTACCCTAGCACTGCTTTATTTTACTCCCATCCTCCTGTCTCTATTCCTTTTTTCGCAACCACTGTTTGTTTACAAACTCATTGTCAGATGCTATGTGACTGCACTTGCTGCAGTGCAATTGCGGATCTATCAATCGAGTATTACAATCTTCTTTGTTCTCTTTTCGGAGGGGCTAATTTTATAACGGAGTGAAAATAACCACACAACTTTTGCATTTCTTGTAAGGTTATTTTTCACTGCTGTAAGTTTGTTTTATAGCGTAAAATAGAGGCGGTCCTCCCAAATTTGCAGAATTTCGTTGTAAATCTCTACTATAAGCAATAGCAAATTTCGTGCTCTTATCTTGCAAGATACAAACGTACACAAAGGCAAGATTTTTTTCAAGGCCACATTCTATATTCTTTGTAGTTTCGATTTAACCTTACGTCAAAACGGCACATATTATAATTTCCTTGTTTGATACTTTTCTTTCTTGCAAAATTAGCAACTGAAAAATAGCGTTAGAGGTACATATTTGCCATCAGCTTCGCCACTAAAAGACGTAATAAAAAAACCATAAAAGTTTTCTGTAGTCATATAGAGTTGCAGCTTAACAGAACAAATTACAAACTTAACAATGACCAGTAAAGTTTTGGTTACTTACTATCACTCTGAGTCACCCTTACATAAGCAAATTGGATCTTAATCACAGGAAAATTGTAAACGCAAAGAGATGCAAATGGAAGAAAAGGTGAACTTTTACGTCATTGGACCGACGTAAATATACTGCTAATTCTAGCTACTTCTTTATAATCCGCTTAATCAAAATTGTGACACACTCCCAAAATCATCATCATTGTTTATGGAGTTGTTTCGATATGCACATAAGAGTTTCGTTATTTTCTTGCAATCGAGAAAATGCAAAATACTAGGAATACCAATTTTACTCTAACCTACGTACCGCACTGTTTTTAGCGATTGAAAAGGCTTTTTTTACGCTACAAATCTATTGACAGGATTTCGATAGACATATCTTGGAAACTTCTAGTGTACAATGACATCAGACTGACAATGTGCGATGACATCAGACTATAATCCTGCAGAGAAACTCGTCACTGTGAAAGAATTCTGAACTGATGTGGTGAATTTTCTCTCAGTAGCGAGCACATATGTTTTCCTCTTTCCCACTAGAGACATAAGGTCAATAAAGCTTTGCCACTACATGATCTTATCGCCCTAACATTTTTTTTCATCATTTACACTGTTCTAGACCTATAAAATAGATGGTTTCTTCTTTCTATAATCCGTCTATTTGGCTGCTCTAATTTTGTAACAGTTCGCTTAGCAGGTTTTCCTCATGCACTATGGATCGCTCTCCCTTTCCTTTCGCGTTTTTAAACCACTGATTATTTTGAAGACTGTATCTGGATAGACTCCTCTTTCCAGATAATGAGCAGCTCCTTGTCATCATTCATCGTACGTGTACTTCTCCTCTGTGCACTTATCGCTCTATCAAGCGGGTGAGTTATATTTGAGGGTTAAGGTAGATTTCGAGTAATAGTGGGTCATACTTTTGCTGTCGTCGATCAACTCTATGCGAATGTGGCGAGAGTTGAACCAGCGTTACATCAAAATACTGCTCATAATTCGTCACAAAAGTCACCGAGATTCACCGAAGTTCACCGAAATGCGCGTCGCAGCGCCATATCTTTTTTCAGAGTGGATAAATTCAGATCCAAAAGCACCGTTTGACTCACAAGGAAAGTTCACTTAGTCGAAGTGGCGATTCAGAAGGAGATCTATGCCAGTGGATAGAGCTTAGAAAGCTGATCACAATTATACCTTCTATATCTGCGATGCGTTGTTCTAAAAAAAGTTATGAGCTTTTCTAAAGCCAAATTTTCGTGCATTTTGAGTCGCAAAATTATGATAATCGCTACATAAAAGTGTGCAAGCTTGTGCAAACCACCTAGTAAGCATTGTCGGTCTACCTGTGGATGAACACATGGTCGAAAAACATTCCATAACGTTCGGATGAACTCGTATTAGACCTACAATGCTTACTAGGTGGTTTGCTCAAGCTTGCACACTTTTGTGTAACGATTATCATGATTTTGCGACTCAAAATGCACGAAAATTTGGCTTTAGAAAAGCTCATAACTTCTTGCGGAACGACGCATCGCAGATATAGAAGGTACATCTGAGATCAGCTTTTTAAGCTCTATCCACTAGTATAGATCTCCTTCCGAATCGCCACTTCGACTAAGTGAACTTCCCTTGTCAGCTCAGCGAAATCCTTCTTGCCTGGTAGGTCCCTCAGTGCACAGTATAAAATTCGTGAAATCTGACTGCCTACGTGCACCTATCGTATCCGAGTGGGCACTTCTATACATAAGAAAATGCGCCCTGCAGAGATGAGTCGAACAGCGCCCTTGGAGTTCGATTTAGCCACTCTAAACCAAAATGTATCAATGCGACGCTGATTCGGTGAACATCGGTTGGGTCTGCTGGCTTTTTTGACTGATTATGAGCGGCCTTTTAGCTGTTAGCTTTTCAAAGCGCTGCAATCTTTCGCAAACACTACTCCATCTTTTATGTGGATCTTTTCCAGCTACTACTTGGCAATGGAAGCACCAGAAGAAGGCGGTTGGCGGGCCGCTAAAAAGTCACAACTTCGAGCGCTTGCCGGTTCACGAAACTGCTTCTTCTCACCAATCAACTGCGTCATCACTCACGATATGTCCACCTACAGAAAACTTGCCGGTTCCAGCTAGAGGGTCTCCCAGGGTCATGCACGATCCGCGCAACGTTGCATGTAGTCTTCGCCGGCCGGTAAATCCAATCTCATCAGCCAAATGATCTCAAACAATCAAACTCATCCATTCGACCACGAGTAGTCAGTATTTCTTTTTCAAGATATGCAGAGGTGAAATCCCATTTTCCTTTACTTACGATTTTTATTACTGATTGCCAAGTGTACCCATCACACTCGTCGATAAATGTTGTTATATAAGTTTTTCCTATGTCTACACTTCAAACAAGCGATTTTATTCCAAACATTACACGGCAACAAATCAACAGAACAAAACGGATGATCGTAACAATTGCATAAATGTGCACACCGAAAATAGTAGACAGCAACTGCTGCTAAAGCGGTGGTGGCCAGGAGATGGCGGGAAGTAGAATTGGGTGCAAGGAGACCGCATTTAGATCGTATTTGGTGAGTAGAGACGTCAATTCCTATTTAACGAACAGCCATGACCTGAAAGGAAGTAGAGATAAGGCAGAAACACAAATGATAGATCATACACATCAATCTTACGATATAGATTGGAACAGATCAGCAAAGATACGATTCTGTTTGAGCATTTCTAAGAAATTTGAATATGTTAATTAAGTTTGGTCTTATTTTCCCACTTTCTTATTTATCTGATTCGGTTCTCGCATCATTAAGGACTATTACGATGGGTGTCCCAATCATAAACGATTAACCAAATTTGAAATCAAGAATCCTGCAAAAAAGAAGATATGAGGCTCAAGCGAGAACGTTTGAAAATGCACTTAACGAGATATCATACCACAACCTAATAAAGTCTTGAGCCAATAGAAAATTGTGATATGCTTCGCTGAATGTTTGTTGTAATAGACATAAACAAAGTATTTTGAGATATTAGAAAGATGAAGATATGAAGTGGCGCAGACTTCCGTTTCCATCAACAAAAAGTGAAACGTAATCCATTCTAGTTCTAAACCATAAACATAAAGTTTCCAAGCTTTCGACACTATTGAATGAGAAAACAAGACTAGAAGCTTCCTTGGAACCTACTCCATTAGAGTCTAAGCTGCTTGCCCGAAATAGTTTGAAAACTTCTAAATGATTATCTTTACTAGGCTACTGTACTAGGTGACCTAAAATTAGAATGCGATTTATGCATAATTCAGAAAGCTAATGAATGTCGTCCAAGTTCTATTCTAATGAAAGAGGTCGCTTCAATCGTGCCCGTGAAAATTTTTTGTAGAAATTAAGAAGAAGCTTGAACACCATTCTGAGGTGATGAGATGACTATCAGAATCTCATTATCTGTTAAGACCAAAGTCAAGATTTTCGTGACCAATAACAATCTAACTACCTCTTCCTGCGTGAGCCAGTGATGAAATAACACCCTAATTTCACGAGTATAGGACGCACCTTTTCGATTTTTAAGCGAGCCGCTCAGCTGTATTTCGGAAAACGAGACTTATGCCGCACGATAGCCTCAGGCAAAATTCAACAGTATATATATAGTGTATATATATATGTGGTTTTTGATCGCGAAGTCCTTCTGTCTGTGCCGTTGGATATTAGAAAAAAAATCCCCCGCGTCCTGTGCCCGTGAAATTAGGGTAGTCAAAATATGGCGCAAAGAAAGGAACGAGTGGATCAAGCTGAGATTGTATTTTGATAATAAATGAGAAGAAAGAGATCAGTTCAAGCGAAAGAGTAAAGAACCGCTCTTGCTATAAATAAACATTCAAAGGCATATAAGAAGGAAGATGAGAAACTCACGAGATCGTCAATCTTCAAAATAGATCTAACACACTCTGAAGCTTGTTTGATGGCAGACAGTGTGACCAACAAGGGCTGGACTACATTCTCTTCGCGGATATCAGTGACATATCCCTAAATCCCCTTCATAAAACAAAGAGACAAAACGATACAGAACCCGACCTTCCTAACGTTGACTCCATAATCAGAATTACCATTAGCATGTTGAGCACGCAATTCAGTCACTGTGTGGATAGGTGAAAGCCCAGCATTTTCAGCAAGAGTGTAAGGGACCTAAATAGGCGTGAGATGGGTCAGCTAAAAGAATTGCGAATGAAATAGTTACCAATTCAAGAGCATCAGCAAACGCACGGAAGCAGTACTGTCTGGCACCCACTTGCTTCTGCGCAAGCTGACGTAACTGTACCGCAACTTCCATTTCAGGTGCTCCACCACCTGAAGAAATAACATAATTCAATAACAGTATTTGCTTCTTGCATATTCGATATTGATATGACCAAGATTACCTGGAAGAAGCGCCTTTCTTTTGACAAGGCATCGGATTACGCACAAAGCATCATGCAGAGAACGTTCGGCTTCTTCCAATACTAGTTTATTAGAACCACGAAGTAGGATAGAGCAAGCTTGCCCAGGATTGGCAACTCCGGTGACCTGTAGGAAAAACATCAACAATTAGCAGAAAACCTTGAAATTCCCAATAAACCACAATTCTAATAAAAAAAGGCAATTATCAGACGAGAGCATAATTTTCGAGGCCTCATCTATAACAAAATACCTTGATAATCTTGCCATCACCTCCGCAGGGGACCTCTTCCACTAGATCTGCCGATCCAAGAGCTTCGGGGACGAAGTGATCCACCGATGCTACAGGACGGCACCCGAGAACCTAAAAAGTGAGCTGATGACTCACCAGCACAAATCAAGAAAATCCTCATCTAATTACCTTCGAGTAGAACTCAATATCTTCACGTTCGATATCTTTTACTACCATGATTTTCATCTTGGCAAGGAAATGTAACGAGAGCTCGTTTACTGCATCTCTGTAATGAAAAGCTAGGATATAGAAGATAATGAGTAGCACGCAAGTCATACCTGAGAATGCTCTTCTGAATAAGGAGCACATTGCACCCGGCTTTCTTGATCTGCTTGCAAAGATCGAGGATGTACTGACGTTCTTCCTTGAGTGCACGATCCATCTGGGTGTAATCCGAGATGATAACTTGGTTTTCCATCTGAAACAATTCCGTACATATAATATTACATGAACTCTGGTTCAAATAGCTACATCGGTTTTAGGCGGGCTGAGCTGGAACTGGATCAAGCCGATTTTCGCTTTCTCTACGCGCGTCGGGCCACCACGACCCATAGTTTTCTGGTCAATCAGTGCTCCGTCAATCATTTCCGACTCCTAAACAGGGCGAAGAATATCAGATTAAACAGAAATCAATCCAGAAACAAGATAAAGGGAGAAAAGACGATTATTGTGAATATATTAGGTTGTTCCGAAAGTAATGTCGCTTTTTCCAAATGAGCGCCACATTTCATAGAATTAATTCAAGAGATCTCAGAAGTATTCGATGCAGCATTTCATCCTCTTTCCAATGGTTGTAATTTCATTGCATAATATTAAATCATCTCTCGAAAAATTAATAAAATCTGCGGCTCATGCTTTTCACCGTGGTCAAGTTCGGCTATTTTTCTAAATTTTTGCACCTATTGTCCGAAGAAGTACAAGTTACTGGTGGATAGAGCAAACCCTATAGAAGGCAGAGTGATTTTTTTCTTTTCCTTAGCTTGCTTCTTAGAGTTTCTGGAACCAATTTTTCAATTCCATCAAATTCCATATTTGATCAACTCAAACCTCACAAAACAACAACCGGCAAGCAACTCGGGTGTCATTCGACGCAGCTTTTTCTCCTCTTTTTGATATTTGTTCTCTGTTTTTGATTCATTGACTTTTCCGGGATAGAATCATCATAATTCAGGTTTTAAGGGCGCCCCAGGCTGTACCCGAAATTTTCGAAAGTTACTAATCTGAAGCGGTGAATGCTGATTTGGTTTGTAAAATTAGTGTCAAACCATAATCCATCTTTGTAAGTTTCAAAATCCGAAGATTTGTTGGTGATTGATGCATTTGTGTCAGAGAAGAACCTGCTAAAATTCGGTGTTTTCATCAAAAAATCTATACAAAAATTATGACACGGGCTCTGGAAAGTAGAAAAAACTTGTGCTGTTTCTTGTAAGGTTTACTCTATCCATCCATCACTTGGACTCCTTCCGAGGGTTGTTACAAAAATTTAGAAAAATTGTGAAACTTGGCCTTCTCAAAAAGCATGGGTCGCAAATTTTGATAATTTTTTGAGAGTTTATCGAATTTTGTGCAGTGTTTATATGACCATTACAAAGAGAATGAAATGCTGCATCAAATGCTACCAGAATCTCTCTTAAATCTTTGTTCCACGAGATGTGGTGTACGTTTGAAAAAAGCGACATTACTTTTGTAACGACCTAATATAAACCCAATTCTTAAACCAAATTACCTCAACAGTGTCTCCCATTTTCTTGATAATCTTGATCATTTTTAGATTCACAGAAGTGTCCTTAGCTGGGTCGATTATGCGTTTAACAGCATTGACAGCCATGGGAGCCAGAAGCCATGAATGCTGAGATACCACCTGCAAGTCATGACAATTTATTGACACATCAAAGAATAGGTATTTGAAAGTTGCAAAAAAGAGTCTAAAAAGAAAAGAGGTAACCGTATTTCACCTTTGAATTGAGTGACGTTGTGGCCATCTTAACAAGCAGTTCGTCGTTTGAGAGATCAACAGGCGAGCTCATTCCTTCAAGAATCTTCTCGGCTTCTAGCGCAGCTGCTTGGAATGAGTCCGAAATGGTTGTGGGGTGGATGCCTGAAATAGGAATGATTCGCTAGCGAACCGATATACTTTCCACTGCAGAGCACGATGTCAAAGACACGAGAAAAATCACAAAATTAGTACCTTTCTGCAAAAGCGTCTGCGCAGCATCCAGCAATGCTCCAGCTATTACAACGACTGTCGTAGTGCCATCACCCGCTTCGATGTCCTGAGCTTTCGAAAGCTCAACGAGCTAAAGTCATGAGGGATACATTTGCTATCTAACGAAAGAAGCATAGTCGAACCATTTTTGCGGTAGGATGCACGACGCTCATTTGATTAAGAATCGTGGCACCATCGTTGGTGATAGTAACATCTCCATTGCCAGACTGAATCATCTTATCCATACCACGAGGGCCAAGTGATGTTCGCACAGCATCTGCTACAGCTTTTGCAGCAACAATGTTGCTGAAAAAGTTACTTATAACAAGCCAACCATAGAAGAATATAAGCCGTTTACGCCTGATAAAATCTAAGCACGTCGCTATAAATCGACGTTGAAAGAATGACGAATAAAACAAACATCTTCAAGGCTTATTGGGGATAATCAATGTCACTAAGTTTCAATGTGAGCAGAGTAAGCTATTGAATAGTATTTTGGATGCACCTACCTGTTGCGAACACTCTCGGGCTTGTCCTTATCCTTAAAAGATGATTCCTTGCCCGAAAGCGCTGGAATTGCAGCTGGTGCTGCTGACATTTTTTACCTGGAAACATATCAATGTAAGCTGCAGAAAGTGCCCTAGGGGCATTTCATATGATTTTTTTGAAAAGGAGGAACTGCTAGTGTAAAAGAAGGCGCAAGTGCAGGCATCTTGTAACTTACTGCATGAAGACACTGAAGGTGGTCAGCAAAATAAAGCAAAAATGAGTTTAGACATGGCAAATTGCCGTAAGCTCATTCTACAGGACGCAAAGCGACAAATCATTCAGTATCAAACATTCCACATATCCGGCCACAGCTGCGCCAGAATTTGTGAGATGACTATTACTAATTAAGCTCTAAACCAACTAGAACAAAAGCCTTGAGAAGAAGTGAATCCAAATTCTTGGAAACATCCAGTACGACTGACAATAAAATTTTTATTCAGGATATTCCTGCTAGGACCCACCCACACCGCAATTGCGGACATTTGTTGTAATATTCAAAATCGGAAAATCTTTTACGAATGAGCTTTTGGTAATAAATACTTTATCGTACCGTTACTTGTTATTTACTTTGAGCAACGTCGAATGGTGAGAGAACATCTAGTCAGTTATATGCTGCGGTAGCGCTTCTTAAAGGCAGTGTCTCGGCAAGATTTCGTTTTCCACTACTTTCTCACCTTCCCGGCTCTTTTCGCCATGAGAAGTACAATTATGGGCTTTTCAGCGAAAATGGCGATGTTGAGCTTTTCTTCAAAGCTTTCCAGGCCCGCATTCAGCAGAAAATACGTGTAAGCATGGCCTGGAACGGGGGGATGGGGGTGCGTAAGACTGCGTTCATACTTATCCAGAAGTTTGGGGATAGTTTCCAGCACAGCGCTCACTTCGAGCGCTGTGCTGGAACTGTTTCCGAACTTCATCAGTATGAAAGCAGCCTCTTCCGGCGAATGCGGACCTGAAAAGCTTCAAAAAAGGCTCATCGCCATTTTTTCTGCGCTGTGCAGCCCGGATGTGGGTTCTCCATGGCGAAGAAGGCGTCGAATGAAAAAAAAATGGACAACGAAATTTTGCCGGGGCGCAGTCGTAAAGAAATCGCTTCAGTTTTTTCTTTCTTGATCAGAGCAAAGAAAATGCCTTTTTAAGGGATGATCCACTATTAGGTAGAAGCTCTGGGCAGTACATCGTATCGTTCCTACCATATGCGCGTTTTCAAAATCCTTTAAGTTATCCTCTACATTTTACATTAAGATGAAGGCAACGGACGAAGCTCCCGCGGGCAAGACTGAGGGTAATGGACTGCAAGCGGCCGAAAGCAAAGAAACTGCAGCTGATGAAGCCAAAGAGGAAAACAAGGAGAAAATTACCACTACAATTGAGTCGCAAGTAACAACCGAAATTGAGCTGAAGGAGGCCAAAGAAAACGAGCCGAAAGACGTTGAGGTTCTTGTAACGAAGGAAATCAAAGAAACAACTGCGATCAAAGAAACGGGAACAGACGTCGAGATTCTTGTGACAAAGGAGTCAACTGAAACCAAACAGTCGGGGACAGACGTTGAGGTTACTGTAACAAAGGAGTCGACTGAAATCAAAGAATCGGGAACAAAGGAGTTCAAACAACCTATGTTGAAAAAGAGGGCAGCTGAAGATGTCGATGATGCGCCAGAGGCGAAGAAGCCAAAAGGTACCCCATTTCTCAGTTTTAGTTTTACGTCTACAAATTTACATGTTTACTTTTTTAAAAGTCGCTTGTGTGATTCGATAATTTTATGCTATTTTCAGAGCGTAAATTGAAATTTGAATCGACATATCTGCGATCTATACCCTCAGCTAGTCAGTACGAGAAGTCTTTCATGCATCGCGATATCATCACACATGTTCTTGCTACCGAGTAAGTTTGTGTATTTTAGCTGTTATCCCTTAATTCGCTTTTTTTGCCATTTATAGCGCTATCATGCCGCAAAAAGGTAGATTTATGATTATGCTCAGATTAGTACTCTGCTTGAATAAATTTGTTCTGTTTTTTGAGCATTTCGCATTTTAGGACAGATTTTATCATAACTGCTAGCATCGATGGCCATCTGAAGTTTTGGAAGAAAAAGTATGCAGAGGGTGTTGAATTCGTAAAGCATTTCCGGTGTCATTTAGGTGAGATCTGTTCTTCGATGTTGCTGGATTTGTAAACGTTGTCCCATAATTTCAGCTTCATTTTCTCACCTTTGTGTAAACTTCAATGGTACGCTGCTTGCGACCGTTTGCCAGCAGGACAAGCACGTGAAAATATTTGATGTCGAAAATTTTGACATGATCAACATTTTGAAATTTGAATTTGCTCCCAGAAAAGCGTGCTGGGTTCACCAAGGTGCGTTGATTTCGGAATCAGTTGCGTAAACATAATCACGTAACTCATCTCTCTCCAGGCTCCGATGCGGTGCCCCATCTTGCCGTCTGTGATAGCGATTCGGGTAAAATACATATAGTGGACGGAAAAGGGACTAGCATATCATTACATACCATTGAGAATCTGCATTATGCACCCGTAAAAGAAATTGAGGTAAGCAGTGCTTCTCCAGCTGCTTGGGTTTAGTTTCGAAAATCGCTTAACATGAATTTTGTTTATGGCGTTGGAATAGGTTTCCAACTTACATTTTGTAAGGAAATCCTTTTTGCACAATTTGCGACATTTGAGTAATACCGACAAGATGATCTTTTAGTACAATCATGTCGTCGATATCGTCATTTCTATAGACGATACTGGAATGATCGAGTACTGGAGCGGCCCAAAAAGAGAGTATAAGTTTCCAGACAATATTAAATGGAAATACAAAACTGATACTGATTTATATGAGTTCGCAAAGGTTGGTCAACATCTTACACTTAATACTCCCTTCCTTTCTTCCTGAATGCTTTTCTCCTCCTGAGTGCTCCCGTCATCACCATTCTTCATACAGATGAAAACGACTCCCGTATGCTTATCTATCAATCCTCAAGGGACTATGTTTGCTACCTACGGCGAAGATCGAAGAATCCGAATATTTTCTCTTGCTAAAGGGAAATTATTGCAAACTCTTGACGAAACAATGAACAAATATGTGGCTGAGGCAAAGGAGCACCGGTGCGCTATCAGAATTCAACTAAATGTTCTTTTTGAGTTAATCATTTATTTTTCTCTCCAGAAATTATGGTTTACAAAATATGGAGTGGAATAGACGAATAGCTCTTGAGAAGGAAATGGACAAAGATCGCTCTAGTAATCTTAGAAATGTGCGACTATGTTGGGATTACTCCGGCTATTTTGTACTATATCCGTCTCCTGTAGGCATAAAAGTAAGTTTTATAAGATGTTTGTTCGTAGAATTTAAATCAGTTCTTGGCTTTTGTAGGTTTATAACGTGTATACACACCAATTTGTTCGAGAAATTGGTAAAGAGGAAACCATGCGTTTTGTTGCGGTTACATTATGTCGGTCAGTTATATCCTGACGTTCTTCTACAGCATTTTCTTTCTTTCCGTCTGCGTTTTTCATGCTCACAAACTGATGATCCCCATTCATGTTCATCGTTCCTTATTTTTAGGGCAGTGCCGGATATACGGGCTCGGTTACAAGGTGCAGCGGCAACGATTGAGACAGAAGCTGCCGATAATCCTAACTTGAACAAGACAACGGACCCAGATCCTATCATGGTTGGTTACAATAAAAAATGTGGTTCTTTTAATTCGACTTTTTCCATTCCGTTGCGCTGACTTCCAGGTTTGCTGCGCGTACAAGAAGAATCGCTTCTATCTTTTTACCAATTCTGAACCGTACTCAACTGATGAGGGGGATGAATCTGCCGTCAGCCGTGATATCTTCAACGAACGCCCTCGTAAAGAAGATCAACTTACTGCTGTCGAGGTTGCTCTACATTTTGATTCTTTCGTTTTACGTTTCACCCGCATTATTTTATTTCCATTACAATGTTAGAATCGGTTCATTTACAGCAAGAAGGCGAGATTAAGCATGCCACTGAAGAGGCAGTTTTGCACACCACGATGGGAGACATTCGGATACGACTGTTTCCAAATGAATGTCCCAAAACCGTGGAGAACTTTAGCACGCATGCTAGGAGAGGCTATTATAACGGTTTAATGTTCCACAGAGTTATCAAATCGTTTATGATACAGGTATGGTGTGGTTCTATGGTTACAAGCCAAGAATTTACTGATTTGTTTTCTAGACTGGTGATCCTACCGGAAAAGGTACGGGTGGACAGTCTATCTGGGGAGCCGATTTTGAAGATGAATTTCATCCCAGATTGCGACACGATAAGCCTTTCAAGGTTAGGTGACATTAGGAAACTTCAACTTTCAGTTTTTACAAATAGTACTCTATATCAAATCTACCAACATGTTCGATCTGAATACCCTCATCTAAATTGCAGTATAGGAGCCTGCAGGATCGCGAGAGTCGGACGTGCGTACGGCCATTGCGCCGCGCACGTCAGATGCGCGTCCGACGACTCGGGTAGGTGCCAGACTTATCCTGTTGAACAGGTTCATTCGGTTTACCACCTTTTCTGTTGGACAGTGTAGTGATTTGACCTATGAACCGAACGAACCGGCTGAAGCGGATAAGTCTGGCACCTGCCTTCGTGACATCAGACGTGCGCGGCGCAATGGCCGTACGCACGTCCGACTCTCGCGATCCTGCAGGCCCCTATACCCAACATAAGCATTTTTTTAGGTATCCATGGCGAATGCGGGACCAAACTCTAATGGATCGCAATTTTTCATTACCGTTTGTCCTGCAGAATGGCTCGATGGGAAGAATACCATTTTTGGGGAGGTAGTTGATGGCACGATGCATATATTGCCGATTAGAGGCAGTGTCTTGGCAGAGCTTCGCTTTCTAGTTTTTCACCTTTTCGGAGCCTCCTCGCCTTGAAGAAACCATATCTGGGCTTTTCAAGCTTCCAAAAATGAGCTTTTTCCGAAGCTTTCCTAGTACGATATTCAGTGAGGATACGCCGGAATTCTTCCGCCCCTCGCCCCCCTCTTTCCGAGCCTCGCCCTCTAGCGCGTGATCTCCACTGAATGCAGACCAGGAAAGCCTCGGGAAAAGCTCATTTTCGCCAATTTCATGTGCTGAAAAGCCCAGAAATAAGTTCCTTATGGCAAGAAGGCTCCGAAAAGGTAGAAATCTGGAAGACGAAATTTTGCTGAGACACTACCTTTCAGCATGACAGTCTTGCTGTCATGCTAATAGGCAGTGTCGCAGCCGTATGTCTTTATATCTTTCTTTGCAAAAAATGTTTATCATCAGGTCTTGTAGAGTTCCTTTACAGGTGATCGAAGGAATGAACGTTGTACAGAAAATCAACCAAGTGCCGACATTCGAGAAGAGTGGACGACCACGTAACGAAATCTCAATAATGTCTATAACCCTAAAGTAGAAAATGTTAATTTTATGGATATGTTAACAAATTATCGCCCTCGGGATATAAAAATGATCTCCTTGATGTCGTTCTCACTCGGGCAAGTTAGTTAGTGACGATTTTTGCGGCAATGCAGCCCATGTTTCTATGTTTTGAATTTCGTATACAACATCCATATATAGCTTTTACGGACTATCTACGGGCTTCATCACACTTTGTTAGAAGAAATATCCTCGCAAACTCTTTATGCGAAAGAGTCTGTTGAGTAAGGTTAGCATTTTGTTTGAGTTGCTATGAGTGTGTAAATCCTCGAGGTGCAGTAAAAGCTTGCAGTAGTTCATATAAATAAGTACGTAAAGCCATTTCAGCCGCTACATCTTAGCATGGCTTTTAAACATATCCTATCGTGCTTGTTTGTGGCTCCACTGCATATGGTGCTGGTCTGACATAATGTCGATTTGGAGTTGCATAAGCAAGCATAAATCTGGAAGAGTTTGGTTACTTCTGCTTCACAGGGATTATAACGAAAAACGAACCTTCCTTGCACTTCTATCTTACAGATAAGATCGCTGAAAAAATGCGTTTTGGATGCGAAGTCACCTAGCCCAACTAGAGCTTCAAAATCGGTGTTAAAGACGGATTGAGAGCGATTCTGAACAAGAAATGAGATACAAGTACATTGCCAAAGCTTAGTAATGCCATAAAAATGAAATCTTCTTTTTTTAATTTTTCTGTCACATTTTGTATGTAGCACTCTCCCTGGTAATAAGCCTCTCGTGGCAGGGCTTTAGTTGAGAAAAGTTTGCGTAATGCATCCGCTTGTCTTTGTAAACCGTGAATGGGCGGACTGTTTTAGTCGGCGTTTTCGGATTTTGAGTGGCACCAGTGCCTTCGACACAAGTACCGAAAATAACTTGACTAATCGGTTTCAAAAATAGCGGACTGACAGTCCACTGGTGTTATCTGTCCGCTCTTTTTATCCTATGGGATAGAAACAGGGCGGCTTTCTATTAGGCTTTCTTGAAAGAAAAATTTCTTCTCTAGATAAATCAAGGCTCTTTTGTTTTTCTAGCAGACTTAGGGTATTATAAGCGAAGCAAGCTCTACGCCACCAAAGATCCTCCCAAATCGTAATCCAAGTAGAGTTCAAAGCCAAAATCAAAAAACTTCTATCACCTGAAAATTTGATTTAAGGGGAAAAAATTCTACGGACCTCCAACTTGGTCATTATACAATAGACACATAGTAGTACTCAGACATGTCCTAAAGGATTTTTTTCGCGCATGAAAAGCGAGAAAAATAATAATCCAAAAATGACAAACTCCGCTCCCGGTCCCTTCCCATATGTTGTATCTCAAAAACCTTAATGAGTTTAACATTAGAATTTTACCTCTGTATGCGCCTTAGTAATCGAGAAATACCATATATAACATTCGGAAAAAGTGAGAAAGTGACATTTGCACATTTTTTTCGGGCTATTTTGATTTTTCGATTATGAGCTCCGGAAAAAACTAACAAATACTTTGGGTATTGATATCATACAATGACCAAGTTGGAGGTACTTAGGCATTTTCTGGAAGTAATTTGGAAGGATTTTTGTGGTAGTTGAGAAATTCCGATTTTTGGCTCAAATTGTAAATTTCAATTTCAAATTTTAAGACTTAGGCGGATCTTTGGTGGTCGTTTTGTAGAGCTTGCTTTGCTCTATCGAATGGGTCTTAAAGTCTGCAGGAAAACAAAAATGACTCGACTTATACAAAAAGGAGTTTACTTTTGGGGCAGCCTAGTACGATGGCTTATATGCCACTGTAGAAATCCGAGATTATAAGCTCTGTTTCTCTCTAAATTTCTTCCCCTTCCTCGTAAAGATGGTCTAACCAAAACTGCGAGTTCTGTTTCTTTCTTTTGTGGACCATCCGTCGTGAACCATATTTCAAGGCCTGCAAGAATGTCTAGAATATCCTATTTATGGTAATGTGTGGGGTTGTCAAAGGAAATCACTTAGTCGCCACTCAGGTTTGGTCGATTGTTTTCCTCTCACTGCGCTACCTGTTGAGGTTTGACATACATCTATAGCGCTTTTTACAGAAAAATAAAAGAAATTTGACATTGCAGGCTCTGAAGCACGGTCTGAACGATTCGGAAGGCTCTAAGACAATTTTGAGATTGAATGGCTTCGACTCCAAGTTTTTCAAGGGTCGCCTATAGCAGTAATAACTTGGGCCTCTGCTTGAAATTCGAATCACAGACCTGTAAGACGTTTGCTATCTGCTGGACGTTGCACGTCTGCCACTTTGGATCCGACGACAAGTCATCAAAAGCATCACGTATCAACTGTTCCAGTTTCGGATTGCAGCACATAAATCCTGAATACGCAGTAAACAACAAAGTTATTCAAAGTATTGGGCAGTATGGAAATCTGACCACATGAATCTATTTTATTGCCCTGAATCCAAAAATTATCTGCATCGCCAAGTTAAGAAAAGAATACATGCTAATGGAAATGGACTAAAATTCTTTAGTTATAATAGCAACGCAAAAAGCCGTTTCAATAGCAATATTTCAAGTTAATCTGAGTAGTTGATAAACGCTCAAAAAGTAAACGGTGAGACTTACTAGATGACTTTGAGTGCTTATACCGATGAGAGAAAATTCTGTAATTCAATGACTACTCCCCAAGGCGAATAGAAGTTTTTGAACTATCACAAAATCTGGTATAATTAAGGTCCGTATTTCCATACATGATTGTGTCTTTTCTTTGTAATTGTTGTGTTTTCGAACCATAATAGGCTTTTAGACAATCGGAAAATTTTTTTACCTGTCATTTTTGGCCGTTCAAAAATGACGTATTTCCGAAAGTTCATATAACTTCCCGAGGTTTTAGGTATTGGACGAATAAAGCGAATTTCATGCTATGGTGCTTTTAGATTCTTCTGTTTTGTTGCTTGGAGATTCACAGTATCATCTTTAAAGGTTTTGAATTTTCGCTCAATTCTATTAGGTTGGTGCAAAAGTTCTTTCCGCCCAAATTCAAAAATTCATAACTTGTTGAATTCTCAACGAAACTGCAAGATCTAAATTTTGCTTAAGAGAGAAACTCATGCTCTTTGCATCTGTACCTGAACCTTTCGTTAAAGTTTACAACTTAAGGAGATAGAAGCTCAAAACCAAAATCACTCAAAATTTGAATTTTTCGTGTAGGGTCATAAAAAATCGGAAATCTGCAACAAAAATTGGAGCAGTCAGTATTGTAGGTTCTTTCATCAGCTCTTTCTAACGGTGCAAAGTTTGCGCTGATTGAGCGTCTCTATAAAAAGTTATGATTTCCCTGAAAAATGCCAAAATAAATCAAATTCGCCCTTTTGTATTGCTTGCTCGAAATTCATAGCTTTTGATAAAGGCGCTCAATCAGCGCAAACTTTGCACCGTTAGAAAGAGCTGATGAAAGAACCTACAATACTGACTGCTCCAATTTTTGTTGCAGATTTCCGATTTTTTATGACCCTACACGAAAAATTCAAATTTTGAGTGATTTTGGTTTTGAGCTTCTATCTCCTTAAGTTGTAAACTTTAACGAAAGGTTCAGGTACAGCTGAAAAGAGCATGAGTTTCTCTCTTAAGCAAAATTTAGATCTTGCAGTTTTGTTGAGAATTAAACAAGTTATGAATTTTTGAATTTGGGCGGAAAGAACTTTTGCACCAACCTAATAAAAAGGGGGAAATGCAGCACCTTGAAGCTCCCGAATTTTTTTGCGAATTGGAGCTTGTTTCTTATAAATCACCATTGGTGCAGGATAATCAAGGTTTGTTTTGCATCGAAAAATCAGCTTTTTGGAATAATAGGTACGCCACTGCTCTATATGTATGTACTCAACGAGTGGATTCCTGAAACAAGGAACTATAAGAAACTTCAAATATTTTACCTAGGTAATCAAAAAAATGTAGCTGAAGGTACTCTACAAAACAAATTTCTAATGCTGTTCAAAATTTCAGATTGAAATTTCTCAAGAACAGTCGGAATCTTGGCATAATTGTAAGATTGTTCGAAAAGCCATGACGATAATATTGCCGCTCAGACTGAAGCGAAAGTTTAGCTAGAAAGAGGACATAAATCCACTTGATATTACCTAATCACATATAGAAACAAAATCTAGAAATTATAATAAAATTGAGAAACTCCAAATGCCGTTTGAATCCTAGGAACTAAACGAAATTATCCGTTTGTCGAACATTTGCGTTCTGAGTTTGGAGATCAGAGAAAGTAACGGACAAAATTTCCAGCTTTATCATACCGAAATTTCGCATATTCTTAACTGTATTATTTTCTAACCATTGAGGTGGTATTTTGAAGGTCTAACTTCCAGATATTCGCAGCACATAGCAAATCTACTTTGGATTTTTACCTGTAGTTTTTTGTAACTAAGTGTTTGTTCTCACCGCTATCATTAGTGTAGCACTGCGGTAGAGGATACTTTTGCTTTCCTACTACTGGAGGTGAAGGAGTCGTGGAAAAGCCGGTTCTTGGTGGAAATGGTCGCTCTGGCAGTTGATAGTGCAGGGGATCAGTCTCCTTGAAAAACTGGAACGAACATAGTATCCAACTTTTATCAATCTAGTCTCACATGGAGTGAAGAAGCATACAAAATTTGCTCTATGAAAAAGAATCTATAATCTTATATATAAAGCTGAATGCCTGTTTGTATGTCTGTATGTCTGTCTATCTGTCTGTGTGTGTGTACGTATGTTCCGAATAGAAAATTCCATTTCTGAACCGATCGGGACCAAACTTAGCACACATACACTTCGAGCCCCGGCGGGTGTCATAGGCTACTTTTCGTATCGATCGACATCAATTTTATCGATTTTTTGCAAAATTTGAGCTACGGGGCTGGGAGTTGGCACAGGGGGGTAAGTGAGCATGGGGATTCCGAATACAATATTAGTTTTTAAAATCGTGCATTACTTTTATCGATTTTATCGATTTTTTTGCAAAGTTTGAGCTACGGGGCTGGGATTTGGCACAGGGGGGTAATCGAGCATGCTGATCACCCCCGTGGGGATGATCAGCATGCTCGATTACACCCCTCTGCCAACTCCCAGCCCCGTAGCTCAAATTTTGCAAAAAATCGATAAAATCGACATCGATCGATAACGAAAAGTGGACTGTGACACCCGTCGGGGCCCGAAGGGTATGTGTGCCAAGTTTGGTCCGGATCGGTTAAGAAATGGAATTTTCTATTCGGAACATATGGCGGAGCCGGGTAAGCCAGCTAGTCTCTTATACAGGGTGTCCCAAAAAAATGTGAACACTGTTTGATTGTAAATAACTTCCTTGCTTTTATGTCTTTCGCCGAGCATAAGGCACCATTCTTTAGAGTGAGGTTCAACTTAGATCTGTAGTATGACGCGAATCGTCGATCGCTCATCTTTACTGTAGGATTACGGTAGGAACTTCGACAAGGATTTTAGGTTATTGGAGGCCATATTCTGCCTCGGAAGAAAACCAAACAAGCCAAAAACTCTTATACTATGGTAGTGGCAGCCGCTAATTTCGAATATGAAGTTTCCACTTTACTGCGATGCTTCTTTCCAAGGTTATCCCAGGTTAACCGTAATAACCGACTTTCCAGCATTTGTCAGAAATGTGATTACACCGTCAAAAAAGCTAAAAACACTTGTAAAAAGTTGTGCAACAGAATCAGCGTGCCCGAAAACCCTAGTATACGATTTTACAGATTTTTTGGAAAAAATTTTGTCAAATGGCATATTTCACAATAGATTCACATGCTGAAAGTTCATACCGTAATCCTACAGTGACGAAGAGTGATCGATGATTCGCTCCATGCTATAAATCTAAGTTGAACCTCGCTCTACAGAATTGTGCCTTAAGCTCGGCGAAAGACATGAAAGCAACGGAGTTATTAACGAACAAAGAGTGTTCACATTTTTTTGGGACACCCTGTATTTTGCATCTTTACTTACTTGTTTCACCAATGACTCCTGGACTAAAGTTCGCTCGACTCCACCTGACAAGCTGTCTGCGTTGCCATGGAATGACTTTTCGTCTCGCAGAACCTGACTGTCAAGTCCTGAAAAGATACATGGGCTTTAAATCAAGACGAAATTTGAAATTTGTATTTGATTTTTGAGAAATAATGGATACAGGTTAAACTCACGTGGTAAATAATCCTGCCTCTGCGGTATGACAAACGGCTGCCGTACATAAACAGGTCTTCCAAAGACATACACTTTAGATACAGGAGTGTTGTTAGGCGGAAAGCTGTATTTTTGCACCTTAAATGGTCAATAGTTGGAAAAAATTGATATTGTTTATTCATAGTTACATACGGTGAGCAATGCCCCAATCTAATTGCCCGCTTTTACAATGATAACTCCTTTCGCTTTAGCGTTTTTTCGGCTTCCAAAGTATTGAACATATTGAAGAGAATCGGCTTCAACTTGAATCTACAGCAAAGAGCAACTTACCGATAGCCCCTTAATATCGCAGTGCGGCAGAAGGTTAAGTTCAATGACGTCAATCGCAAATTGAGCTGTCAGAAAATCTAAGAAACTTCTAAACCCCCGACGTTGGGTTTTTTGGATCAGCTTAAAACAGCATATAATGTGCAAATTCATGAGGTACTTTAGATGGCGTAATCACCTTTTGGGGATTATCGGATAACACTGTTACTTTTTTACCATTACACTTGTAGCAACTGTTGGATGCTTATTAAAGTGGCGGACTTGCCAAAACTTTTAAACTAGAGGCATGGTAAAGAGCAATGCTCATATCTGGACAGCAAACCTAACGACTTGATGCCACAGGTTCCAATTCTTTATGACATTTTTTGGTCCAGGTTTTGCCTTGAAATCCTCACAAACGTTTATCATAATCCTACAGCATTAGAGAATGATCGGTGTAACTTCCATGTTTCCTCCTTTCTTAACCTCGGCATAGTTAGTGTATTGTGGTGAGTAGTTAGTATGCCAGCACGAGGTTAGTAGATTTATTGTTAGTAGTGGCGGCCTAAGAGCATAAGATCTAAATCTCCTACCACTTTAGGCCTCTGAAGAAGACGAAATCGTCGAAACGTTAGGCCGCCACTACTAACAATAAATCTACTAACCTCGTGCTGGCATACTAACTACTCACTACAATGATCGGTGTTTTTTTATATACATGTATCTACGTTGAAGCCAGTCTTTATTTGTATATTTTCCTACTTTGGAGCACCCTGTGATCGCACTTAGAAAATATATGGGTTTTGTAAGCAAGACTCAGAAAGTCGATAACTTACATGGCTAATTTTCGTTGTCGTTCCACTTACTTGAGATCGTTTGCTGTCCACAGCGTGAAGATTTGTTGCAAAATAAATAGAAAATAGGATGATTGGACGCATGTGTCTGAGAGCTGCTAAAATGACATAAGATATGCAGATTGAATGCTAATAACGCAAAAGTTAACAAGAAATTTGCGCACTCAGTTTCTTACCTAAAAGTAGGCGGCGAAAAAAAAGAGATGGAGAAGACCTCTTCCCAAAAAAGGCAGGAAAATGCTTTATGGAATACTTCATGTTTTATGGAATACTTCATCACTACGGCTGACAATATTGTGTGAAGATTGATCATAATGCTGGTAAAAGTTTTAGAAACCGCGCAAAGGAGCACGATCTGGAAACGATCAAAAGTGCACGTTTAAAATTGTCATTCGTGTAAAAAAGCCTCATGTATAACATGCTACAAAGAGCAAAAGCTGACGTGGGAACGGGAGGTGCTTTCGAAATTATTGTAAAATTTTTTTCTCACTACCATAACCTTTTAAAAAACCAATTTGACACTATGTATGAAAATAGTTAAAGTTAATGAAAAATTCATGAACCCAAAACAATGATTTATTACAAAGATTGTAATGTATGAAAGCTGTTAGCATCAATGACGAAATTCAAAAACTCAAGATAATGTGTAGCGATCACTCTTTCTGCACTCGGACAAGCGACAGGTTGCTGCGCATCGGTGGATAATTGAAAGTCAAACTGCGTTCAAAGCGGTTTACGATGAGGGTGAATGGGAAGGATTTGCGCCGTTGTTGAAAAAGTGTGCTCAAAGTGCTAACAATGAGAAACTATGGCTTTAGATGTTGAAATCGAAGAATACGAATGATCAGTATTACATTCATCCTAAATTCAGAAACAAAAATACATACTGAAGAGAAAAGGAAACTGTGAAAGATCCTCATCCAGAAACTGCGAATATAATCTTATAACACATCACCAAAAATTATCTGTAAATAAAGGTTGCGTAAGCGAGTACAATACTCGTAAGCATTTATGGGTGGAACGATTTTTGTGCGGGGGCGAAAAGATTTCGGAGCTTAGCGGACAGCTCAGAATTAGGCCACTGTGCGTTGCTTGAGGTTTCTTGTCGAAATCGTGACTAGCTTTTTTTTTTGAAATGGACATAGATACAATTACCTTCAAGTGTGTGAGATAGCTCAGATCTTGATAAGCGCTCATAAGTTTGAGGGACAAAGAAACTTCTAGAAAACACCTTGAGCTGATCCTAAAATTGTAGAAAGTAAAAATGCTAAGAACGGGGAACCCACTAGGCAAACGCAGTCTAATGAAGTGAGTTACGGACCTAGATATATATGCTTGAGATCCCCACCACCCACCTGCCCTGCCCCTCCGTTCCCTCCTCTGATATGATCTTCCATCCTGTTATGTCTAGAAATAACTTAAAAAATAGATAGATTTTATTCTAAGTAGGAAGTGGCAGTACCAACTCAGCGCTATTTTTATTGATATTAGGAAGTCTCTATACTAGGTTGAACCAAAATTATGGCACCAATTTCAGAATTTTGTAACTTTTTTCTGTCACGACTCTTGCATAACTTCAGTAGAAAGACTACATTTACTTTTTGATAACTTTTTGATAATCTCAAAAAAATCGCGAGGCTCGTTGCTTAGCAGGCCCCTTGAAAATCAAAATGTAAGCAATAAAATTTTTAACAGTCAATATTATAAATTCACCTTCTGTCTTGAATTAAAAAAACTTTTATGCTTATCGGATTTGTTTATATTATAAAAAGTTATGATATTCGAGGAAGTTGCACGAAACGGAGAGTATACTTTTAGGAAGATTTTTGTGACATGACTTTAAAAAAAAGCTCGACCTTATCTGTGAAAGGATACCGGAAAACTTGCTAGTGACTGTTTTGGATTTTGTTGCTTAGATTTCTTTCAAAGGGATCGCTCCAGATCACCAAATCTCGGATACTCCTTGTTCCAATTTTCTCTGCAAGTAAAGCTTATTAACACGTTTTTCTGATAGATTAATTTCATGCGAGACCATCTTGATAGCAAGGTACGATTTTTGGAATATGTGCGACAAAATTTTTATTTTAACTTAATACTAATTTTTGGCAAGGAGACTTACCAATGCAAGGAAGTTTCTTTTAGACAAGGAAAATAAACAATTTAGCTAAAAGCTTGCAAAGAGCTGATTTTTCGCGCAGTTCGATAAGGGACGACTGTGCTGAGCTATGGAAAAGAGCGCATTCGCATAGCAATTCAACAACAATAACATCCGAGCTAATGTGAAGCTGCGTGATGCGCGGACTCGAAACTCGCTCGCCGATCGTTGTTGTGGGGCAGTGGGCCGTAAGACGCGGATAAAACTATTCTCAAGGACAACCGCTACTTCTAAAAGCATTGAATCGTGCTCGGAGTGCGCGCGAAATGTGCGAAGTCACGAGAGCTGCAACCAGTAAACAGTCTCGTGCAGGGCACGGCACAGGTGGCTTAGCAAGCAAGCTGGAAATCGTTTTTGGGGAGAAAGCAAAGGGGATATCGTTATTGCAGAAGAGCATAACGCTGTCTTTCGATCTGCGGCCGGCACGCTCCCGGCATGCCGCCAGCAAATAAACAAAGGGTTTGTTTACAGCGAAGTGAAGATGAAATGACACCAAAATAGGTGTGTAGATGGGCAATGGGGAGTTAGGACTAAGTATGAAAAATTATGAAAAAATTATGTGAACTAAAGGCGTGCTCAACTTTTTTCGGAGTTAGGTGGCTTTCAAGCCACCTGGATAGCCACCTGAGGTGGCTTAGGAAAGAAAAAGTCATAAATTTTTCTTCCGTCACATAATTTTTGTACTTTCTTTACATACTTTTCATCTACATCCCAAACCCTACAAACTGGTTCCCAAACCGCCTCAAACCCCCTTCTCCCCGCTTAGTTATAGCCCCTTGAAAATTTTGAATGGCGGCAGAAAGGCTGCTCTAGGCGCGTATTGCTGCACGATGGATACATCATGCCTCCAATCCGAAGAATATGAATATCATCGCGTGTGTTCGATGATTCCTTTTCGTTTTTTTCCTACTGTTGCTTTGTGCCGTTCCTTTTCATGTATTTTCTCTTCGAATTCCTCGTGGCGGATGTCGTAATTTTATTGAAGTCAAAGGGGACTTCATTTTTTCGCAAATTCGGGACGCCACCTCGTGCCGAGCCCTGGTCTAGGGTCAAAGGGGACTCCGTAAAAAATCGAAAAGTCAAGGGGGACTTCGTTTTTTGCATTTTCAGCTAGCCACCTCGTGCCGAGCCCTGGTCTCGTGTAGCCTCAAAAAACTAGCGAAATCTCGCATTTTTTCTTTATTTTTGCCATTTACTGAAACGGATACTCGTCGTAAGCGAAACTGACGGAATTACTTTCAATTTTGATGTATCTTCCCTTGTGACATCTATGGTAGGAGAAAATTTATGAAAAAAAAAATACAGCAGAAAGAAACTATCTTGCATAAACAGTGAATACCGGAGTAGATTTGAGCTATCCTGTTGCAAAATTGTTTTAGAATCTATGTATATTACTTAGATACGTTGACTTAGCGTTAGTTAATGAATTTAGAGTAAGTGAGTACTGTAGTGCTGGAGACAATTTCTTGCAAGATAGTTTAAAGGTTTGAAAACCTGAGTATATTCAAGCACAATGGTATAAAACTGGGTGTGGATCAGAGTAACTGAGTACTCAGTGATAACAATTATAAACCACTTCAGAATCGCCGCATTTCCGCCTTCTTGTCAATAAAACTGTCTGTTGTTGACTTGCCCTCTTGTTGAAACCTCGGCATCGTGAAATGTGTATTTTGTTTTCTTTGCCACCGGGGTTTGGTGAAGCTCTTTGTTGCGGCCTTATTTTTCGAGTTATCGTCGTCTTCAGCGGCCTAAAGTGGTGCGAGATTTTAATCTTCTGCTCTGTCCCACCAAATTCCTCATCAAACTCAAGCTGGTTTCCCTCCCCCCCCCCCCAATGATTTCGCTAACAATACTCAGAAGTGAAAGACGAACCAACGCTCGCTTCGCTTCACCGTTGGAGCTCTAATGGTGTTTCACTTCCCTTGGTGTCAGTAGTGCCAATAAACTATAGTGGGAAGCTTGTGAGTCGGTGTTATCACTACTGAATTATAGATCACATAACGGTAGTCGTTAGACATTCCTTTCTGTTGTTCATCGATGTTTGTCCGTGTCTGTTGTTTTTTGTGCATGTATGTAGAGTACGATCACTATCGAAAGATGTCTTTCCTTCTCCATAATTTTGAGCAGAGAAGAAATAGGATCTGGATTTATAATCGATTTGAAACGCACGTGGAATTTTGCATTCTGCAACGTAATAAAACTTTGAATTTTCTAGCTCCAAAAATGCCAAAAACTTTTCTAAAGCATAGTTCGAAGAAGTATGAATCAATCTCAAATATAGATAGCGCGGACTTGAAGCTGGATGGTAAAGCAGTAGAGTATTCTTCGCAGAATTTGCTAAGGGCCGGGCATACTTCACGCGATTTTAGTCGCGACGCGATTTGGCAATATTCCAACTGTCCATAACACACTGTAAGCACATCATGAATGTACAGAAGATAGGGCATTTTATCAAACCACGTAAGTTATAACATGCATGTGCAGTTTGCTAGTATTGAATCTGAAGACTTCTGGCGAACTGCCAAATCGCGTCGCGACTGAAATCGCGTCAAGTATGCCCGGCCCTCTAGGAAACATCGCAAAAAATTGAAGGTACCCACTTTTTTCGGCATTTTGAAGAGGCAAAAAGATTGCCTCAAATTCCCTAATTTTTCTCCTCTGAAAAATAATCAAACCCTAGCGTTTATCATAAGCTGTGTTACGTGCACTTTCACTGCACAAAGGGGAAATTCCGCAATCGCATTTCGCCCATCAAACTTTACAAAATAGCATGGTCGAATCTTCTCAGCTAAAGATTGCAAAGTTCATCCTTGATAATCGTCTTCTAGCATAGAACTTCACAATCACTATATTAGGTGGGTGCAGAAGTTCGTTCGCCAAATTCTCAAAAAATCATGACTTCCTTCCTTCTTTATGGACTTTCTTAATTACTTTTGTTTGAAATAGGAAAAAATTTCTTCACAACGGTGCCTTTGCCATGAATTGGCAAACTATTTTTTAAGCTCCGGAGTCAAAAAGTAAGAAAAAACTATGGTGAGTTTGTGGGTTGGCATCTGGGACAATTACATAGATACTTTTTGAGCGCTGAGCAGCACATTTATTGATCTCTTATTTCCGTATGAGGTGGACAGAATTTTGAAATTTCTTGAAACAGGCATTCTTAGAGTCGACTTGGGATGGATATTTCAAGCTATAAAAGCCAAGTTCTACTTTTCAAACTTCATTAGGTTCTACGCTGGTAGGTATCTGAGACCTTGAGATCGTAGCTTACATGAAAGTTTAAACGCCAAAAGTTGCAACGTTAGCTAAAGAGCTCTGAATGAGGTGTTCGTATGATTATGAACCGGTCAAAAATGCGTACGGCGCACAAGGCGCCTAGATTGACACCAAATTTCATTTTTATGCCGTGTATGCTGTTTACGCTGCGCACTCTTCATAAGACCAATGGTCCCTTACATCCTTTTGAAAAAGTTCAGGAAACAGCAAAATATGGGTGTTCTATAATTATGGAATTATATTCGATAATAACCTGCATCGCACAATATAATGACTGAAATTATCAATTTGATTTCGTTGAAAGCCTAAAAGGAACGAATTCAAAACACTTCTTATCACTAAAGCGATGACATTCGAGCTCTAACTTCTTTGTCCCAGACTTCGTAAATTATCTAACAAGGGAAGGATACGTACTTAGATTTGCCATTTGAGATGAGACGCATATATTTAGAATCAGACTGGAACGCTGATTCAAATATGCTGTTCTTAGCTTCTGAGCATTATTTTGAATCGACTTGTGGTCTTTTTTCCGTGCAAAAATTGCGTACTCATCGATACTGATGCTACGGTGTCAACGTCTAAGTGGTTTCAAAAGTGCATAATGCTCCTTTCAACTAATTCAAAGATATAGTCTAGTTCTACATCCTAGCACTTTTTTCGAGCAGATTCCCATTACACTAATAGGTAGTTACAAAAGCAGGCTCCTCGCTTTTAAGGCAGTATCTAGGCAAGTTGGGGGTTTGGGGATTGTGCCATGCGAGAGTGGCTCCCCTCAGACACAACACTGCGCAAGTGAAAGGTCATAACGCTCGACCTAAAGCAAGAAAAACGACCAGAAAGTGGGGAAACTTACGCCTTGGGGCGGGGTCTCCAGACCTGTTCGAGTTTCTGCTATGCGGCAGAGTACACACACTGCCACAGTCAAAATCATTGGATTCCGCAGTGACTCTGCTTCTCAACCTGGCGGGACCGTCGACTTTCAAATTGTAAGGCTTTGGGGAAGCATGTTCTTGCCGTTTTCGCGCCTACTAATGTGGAGTTTCAGATTAGCGTTGCGGGTAACCTTCGGTAAGTGGATTTTCTAGAAATCGAGTTTTTGCCCGCACACTGCCTTCAAAATGACGCTTAGCAACTAGGAACAGCATATTTGAAGTCAGCGTTCCAAGTTGATTCCAACTATGGCCCGTAGTAAAACTCGGTCACGGGAGATGATCTCCCCTGAGGCCCTCATATGAGGCTTTGTCGGGTAAGATGAGGACTGCCCAATTTTCCGTGGTTTAAGTATGCAAGGTCACCCTACAGGTGAGCTTCAGATGAAGCCCGGCAGGGAGGTCAGCTCCCGACCGATCGGAGTGAGCCGGGCGATGACATAAGGTAAATACTGTGCTAAAGAGAAGAGCACAGAGAAAACTTCCGTAAGTTGCTCCCGAGTAACTTAAGAAGCACCGAAGCTGACGTTCTTTTGCGGTGCAAAACTCCCAAAAGTGCACAATTTCGAACGCCTAAGTGAGTGAGGATCGATGAGCAGCTGATTGCGCGACGAAATCAAAAAAAGGTTTTTTGCATTTTTCTTACAGATAATGCTTGTTTTTTACGGAAAAACCGCTTCAGATGACAAAGAGGCGAATTTATCTTTTTATTCGTTTTTCGCTAAGTGTAGTTTTTCTTCGTTTGAGTGCCAAATTATTGTATATTTGTTTTATCTCGTTGTTTGCTAGGCGAAATCTCTTAGCTGCTATCACCGATTTTTCGATAACGGCCGCTACCAAAAGTTGCCAGGCCAAGTAGCAAAAATGGTGCCGTTAGCCGCACTCGAACCACGGCTCTGATGCTTGAACCGCATTAGTCTTACCCATTTGACTAATAGTGCGTAATTAACAGAAACGTTCCACCTTTGAAAACGCGAACGTCCAGCAAGTGGTCTGCTCCAAATCAATCGCTCCCCTGGCAATGTGCTGAGGCGCGATGAGATCAACTCCGGTCCGCCCCAAGAGAGATGTCCTGATGGGGGTCTACGGGCCTATGTATCTCACCTCAGAAGATGAATCTAATAGTATCCTGGTATCTTTGGTATCCTTCTTTTTCAAGTCCTTGACTCGATGTAGTTTCTGACAATAAGTTGATGACTGTATTTACTTGTATCCACTTTCCTATGCCTGCGCTTTTCTGGACAAGGGATTTGTTTTACTTGAAAAATGTCCCGATTTTTTTACAAATCTTTATTTTAATCTTCGTGTGATAACAAAATTAATATTAATCAGATAGCTATGAAGAATTGATTTGTTACAATTTTAAGCAGAATATCACGAAATACTAGCAGGAGAGTAATGAATCATTATTTTTCTCGACTTTTCGTCTCAACTGCGGCTATGCTATTAGCTTTCCTCCATACTGGCGGAGCTTTCACTTCTTTTTCAAAGGTTCCAGGATATGACTTGGACGACATCTGTTTGGGACATGATCCATCATCTACTTTTAGCTGATTCGTTTCCTCGTTTATTTTTCTCCAGATTGGTGGCCGTCGACCTTCAAGCGAAGAACTAACATTGACTTGTGGCGATGGCTCCGCTGATATATCGGGAAACATATGGAGTGTTTCGTCTGAAGAAATTTTGCGTGTGCTTGGCTCCTGTGGAAGTCTTAAAGGTGACGCCCCCATCTTCCTCGATCTCCTACCACCTGAAGGAACCGTTGGCGTGGATTTATTTGGAGTTGAGGCACGCAAGAAAGATTGCTTGGCACGCGATCCCAGTATTGCTTTGAATTTGTTCACAAGGACTTTCTTTAGCTTCGCGAATGCTGCTTCAGGTTTTTGTGGTCTTTCTTCCAAAACAAAACCATCAACCTTTTGAGGTTCTCGCGTAGAGTGCGTAAATGGAGGAAGGGCGTTGATTACTATTTGTGTCTCTTTTGCAGGCTTTGCGAAGTCTTCTTTTGATATATGCTCCTGGCTAGGTTGGGGTAATGGAGTAGCAGGCTGCTCTCTGCTCCCTATACTTTCTATTGGTGCACTTACTGTTATATCAGGAGGAATTTCCATGCTTTTCTTGCCTCTTTTTCGCTGGAAAATTGTATGAAATTAGTGGCACATTTTTAAGGTCAGGGCAAATTTTGGGACAAGGACTCAGTTAGTGGTTTCGCTGTGGTACACATGATTATCTCAACAAGCTTGAATTTGAGTGGACGCCTTATGCCTTATGCCATACCCCGTAATTCAACAGTATAGCTAACTCAAGTAGGCTGATCAAGCTTATTGTCAGCTAGCATAATCCACAGTGAGCGTTTGCAATTATCTGTTTTGACTTTGTGTAACAATGAACTGTGTTCGCTCATTACCCCTTCTCTAAAAAGAAGATCAAAAGATGAGATTGCGTCCCTTGTTTCGCCCTCGATAATATTTTATCTACCAAATTTGTATTGTGTAAAGAATAGTTCCCACCTTCAAAGACTCTATTTGCTTTCGTTCAGCCTCCCAAAAATCGCTGAAGTTCCCGCGGTACTTCTTGTTCACGTACATGTAGGTATCGTCTTGATTTACCTCTTCCTCAGGTGAAGTGATTGGCAGCTAAGATGACATTATTTGCGACGATGGATTTGCTTGAAAAATACCTCCTCCATCTCTTCTTTTAAAACTGCCTCATTTTCATCAGATCTGATTGCCTTTATTTCTCCGAGTCTCACTTTTTTCAGATCGGTTTCCCCAAGACGAGCATTCCATCGACACACAAACTTATCCGTCATTACAGCATCAATTCGGTTTGAAAATTTAGGTGGAGGGAAACCTCCAGAACGTGCTATTTCCATAACAACATCATCAGATATGTCAATCAAATGATCGGGATGAATAGTGACTCTAAATTTTCAGTTCATTTTTTTTCATCCTTAGAAAGTTGTCGCGGAAACATACACATTTGGATGGGTGCTTCGAAAAGTAGCCATTCTTTCATAGGTATCTCTCCAAAGCAATGATGTCTAAAAGTCATTTTCACATGGCGTCATTTATGGCCAAAAGCAATAGAGGACGAAAGCTGACTTGTTGCAAATTTACTGGAATTACTCGAGCTTTTTCAGCCCAAGACAAAAGAAAATACATGGCAAACAGCATTTCCATCCTGTCAATCATGAATCCATTACATCTCGCTATAAACTAACATTTTTATTGAAGCAAAGCAAAACCACTGCAGTCTTACCCATATGTAGTTGGAATGCATCATTAAGCGAAATGGGTGTTTCCAGTATTATTACAAAGGTGTAGAAGAGATGAAGTAATGAGAAAATTTCTTTGTGACGATCGCTCAAGCAAATCTGAAAACACTCCCGTTTTAGTTTTATATCTTCAGCTGTCTTCCCATCCCAACTCACAGAGCTTTTCGAGTCTTGGCAATATTGAACAAGCTGCAGAATCTCTTGTGCATTGACTTCCAATGCGAGTGGCTCCCTTCAAATTCAAAATAGTACAAAATCAAATTTATTTAAAGCGTGAGTTAGTTCAATGCACCGTCAAAGTTCTTGATTTTCCAGCTGTATCTTCCATGGAACTTTGAAAGCAACCTGTGCTTTGTTAGGGAATGGGAGGAAAGAGTTTCCTCCTTCACCAAAGGCTTGCATACCAATTTCCCGGGCAGGCGTGGGAGAGGAGGGCTCGAGTCACCTCAACAAATGAGAACCGACCTCCTTCGCGGTTCTGTTGTCGAAAACATACTAAAACAATGGATTCGGCGGTGTAGGAGTCCTTGTCAATAAGAGTTGGCCGTAAATATCAGTTTCTTTGAGCAATTAGCATTTTGAATCGGACGACCAGAAATCTATACCAGCCTTGACAGCCTTCGCTGCGCACCTCCAATATCAAATTACGACAAGGACAAGACAGGTTTTTTACGTGGGCTTGCGAAGTTCAGAGAAGAGTTTCTACTATGTCATCGTCGGTGACAACGTCATTTGGAACTAGAAGTTGGCCTGAAGAGCTTCACTATGGGACCCGCACCACATTGGAATGGACAAGGGAAGATTATCCAAGTTTATTATAACGGCGAAACTTAACTATGGCTATGGTAACTCAAACTTCCAGAATCCTTCTCGAGGCCCTTCCTAGGGGTGGAAAATACGATAATGGAATTGACCATATCGTTAACAGAGATACTCCTGATAATCGCTTTCGTACATGGAGTCAGACCATCGCCTTTTTCGTGTCAAGTTCTAATCTTTTTCGTGCAAAGTTCCACTTTTTACGGAATAGAGAGAAAGCCATTGAGTTTAGGAGACATCTGAAAGCTTAGGAAACATCTGCCACGACTACCGACTATACTTGGGTAATTCGAAATTCTTCATCGAATGAATGAATATCGAATAAATTCGAAGAGAAAAAATTTCGAATAAACATATCGAATAAATTCGAAAATAAAAAATTTCGAATAAACGAATATCGAATAAATTCGAGGTTCAAAAATTCTCGAATGAATGAATTTCGAATAAATTCGGGAAATCAAAAATATCGAATGAATGAATATCGAACATATTCGAACATTGAAAGTCGAATTTCGAATAAATATTCGAATGATTTATCGAATAACTAGAGCAACCATATCTCAAACTTGCTGACATATCTTGCTGAAGCCGATCCATTCATAATCAGCACCCTCGTATCCCCTATACCAACTCCTAGCTCAAAATTTTCCGAAAATTGCTGAAATCGATAAAATAGATTCCGGTTTCAATCAGCATCCTCATTTACCCCCCCCCCACTGTACCAACCCCCAACCTCGTAGCTCAAAATTTTCAAAAACCGACAAAATCGATAAAGTAAATTTTTACCCATAATCAGCACCCTCACTTACCCCCTTGTACCAACTCCCAGCCCAGCATTTAAGACTTCTCCAAAAATTCGACAAAATCGATAAAGTAAATTTTTATCCATCAGCACCCCCACTAACCCCCTTGTACCAACCAGCCCCGCAACAACGGTGACCACTTATGTACTTAAATGCCACAAATGCTACGATACATTGCCTGTTCATCGGAGACTTTCGTCTTGTGTGGTATAAGCTACTCATGGACAAAGGCATGTGGTTTATTCCGCGAAGCGAGCACGATTGACCCTAGCCCTAGGCATACTGCAGGCATTTCAGTGGCGACGTGGTTTGGCAATAGTCATGTCTAAAACTTATTCTAAAAGTACAGAATGCAGGGCTTTTATCTTTTTAGTAAATTACAAATTATTAGGTCGTTCCGAAAGTAATGTCGCTTTTTTCAAACGGGTACCACATGTGAAAGAACAAAGTTTCCTAAGAGATCTTGGATGCATTCGATGCAGAATTTAATTCTCTTTCTAATTATCTTGAAATTGTTGCAAATCAGTCAATGAGCTTTCAGAAAATAACCAAAATCTGCGACCTATGCTTTTTGAAATGGTCAAGTTTTACGATTTTTTAAAACTTTCATATCGATCCTCAGAAAGAGCTCAAGTAATGATTCGATAGAGTAAAGCTTATAGAATGCAGCACTACTTATTTCTCTTTCTCGTAACTCGCCGTAATTTTTTAAAAGATTTTTTAATGGAACCATTGCATTTTGGCAGGCCCACTTCAGCCACAATCGCATCAAAATCATAATTTTTCGGAATTTGAGACTACCAAGATGGTACTATGAGTTAGCACAAAGTTTACAAAGCAAGTGAGGGCTTACGGGTTCGAAATATCAAATTTCGAGTTTTTCGGGTACAGCCTGGGGCCAAAAAAATGAGTTATGATGATTTCTCCTCGGAAACTAAACGAATCGGAAACAAAAAAACGCATTAGAAAGAGGAGAAAATGCTGCATTCAATAGCGCCCGAGATGCTCTTCTTTTGATGTTCTACGAGGATTTAGCTGCCTAGGTATGGAAATCGGTAGCATCAGTTAAAATTCTGTAAAATGTATGACAATATGGAATGGAGAAAAAAGTAGTACTGTATTCTATAAGGTTTGCTCTATCGAATCCTTACTTGAACTTCTTCTGAGGATTGATATGAAAGTTTTAAAAAATCGTGAAACTTGACCATCTCAAAAAGCATGGGTCTCAGATTTTGGTTATTTTCTGAAAGCTCATTGACTGTTTTGCAAATATTTCACAACCATTAGAAAGAGAATAAAATTCTGCATCGAATGCCTCCAAAATCTCTTAGAAATATTTGTTGCGTCAAATGTGGCGCCCGTTTGAAAAAAGCGAAATTACTTTTGAAACGACCTAATATAATTATTTAGTACACGTTAAACATTTGTGGTAAGCTGGCGTTACATTTGAAGACATCTCGTAACTGGCAAATCGCATATGGCGATCTAAACCGTCTGATTCTCCACTACAACTGCGATGTGCTTTACTCAAAATACACTAATTCGCAAAAAAAAAACTCTAAGGTAGCGAATAGAGGCAGTTGTGCAGTATAACTTATGCGAGCAAGAGTGTTCACTAGTGTGGGCTATGCGTGCCACAAGCATGAGCAAGGAAAAAAATTGGCATTTCAAAGCACTTTCAATATATGAACTCGGGACGTGAGCTTGAATCTGGTAGCTTCTTTGCTGATTTGGCGCCAATAGCAGTGCGAACAATCTCCTTGATCGAAAAAGCATCAATCAAGATCCATGTATGATTTTTTTTACTGTCAAGCAGTCAGAAGAATGCGACTCTCCATACAGTTCAAAGGTCATAGCGGTTGCAAAAGATGCATTACCGAGTTTTGCGAGAAAAAAAAAGCGGACGAAGTGAGCTCAGCAGTTGGTTTTGCAACAGTCGAATAATTTGAAACGGAGTTCATTCGAATACAAATTCGAATTAACATTCGAATAAAACATTCGAATAAAATCTATTCGAAATCCCGTTTTTCGATTATTCGAGTTTTCGAATTTTATTCGAAACCCTGTTTTTTGATTATTCCAGTTTCGGATTTTATTCGAAACCCCCTCTACTCAATTATTCGAGTTTCGAATGTTATTCGAAAATGGAAAAACTCCGAATATCGAATTTTGAATACGAATATCATGACTTATAATAACGGGCTAAGGTTGTTTACGTGTTGTATGTCTGTGTCTGTAACGAAATTCGTAGAGCGAGTTCCAGCCAACGTCCTGAGCCCAAATTTTGCACATTGCATGCAACCAACATAAGAGCTTACCATGCAAAATCACGAGTGGTTTTGTTGGGTGGATCCCTCAGAAACTGCGCGTCAAACGGAACCACTTGGGTTCTGGCCAGCAAAACTGGTTCCGCATCACTACTTTTTGCAAAGTCGGGGATTTGTTTGGCATGCTGATGTGCAAGCCATGGACTTTGGACCAAAAAAGTGGACAAAAGTTTACTACTTTACGAGAACGACGCCAAAAAGAATAAATTGCGTAAATGGTTAAATGGTTAATTTGCCATGGTTTTACCTAAGCATTTGAGAAGAATTTTGCACAGAGATGTAGCTCACGTTGCCTACTGTCCTTATGGCAGCTATCAAGCCAGAAAGAGTCCAAAAACCTATTTAAATTTGCATTTGTTCTTCTGCGAAAAGTTTCATCCACGCGAAATCACCGACCTCACATGAAAAAGCATTTGGAATGGGTAGTTGTTTACATTTTACTCGCGATAATCGGCACTGCGCGGTGAGTTTCATTGCCAACATTAGTCAAGAATGAGTAAGGCATATGAAGTAGGACCAGTGCGAGCCTCTGCGAAGCAGAGGTGACGCTCTAGTATTCGAGTGTTTTATTCGAATGATCGAATTTCTATTCGATTCGGACCCAAGTATACTACCGACTACTGAGTCTGTTTTCTTCAAAGTCCGACTTATGGCATACTTTGATCGACGACATCGACGAAGAATAAAAATGGTTTCTTTAAAATCTTCAAGAGTGCGCTAAGGAAAAAGGAAGCTTGGGAAACGAATGATTTTTTACGAGGCACAAAAAGGCGTCTGTCAAGGGAGGTTTCAGAGCTGATACGCCAATATGGAAGAGCAACAGCCGCAGGCAATCACCTGCGGACATTTCGTCCGTTGGCAAGTTTGCTAGGTGGTGCAGAGAAGCATGAAAGAACCTGAACGAGAGAAAAAATATATGCAATGTTGAGCCTGCAGAGGATGGAATAAATGCATGTAGCGTTTGCTGAAACTTCACCAATTTAAGGCCAAGGTGGCCGCTGTTCGCCACAATGTTGAAACCACGACTGCTTCTTCATTAAAGAAGACCATTCACGATATCTAGGGCGATCTATCTGGCAACCATGTTCACCTTCCTCCAAGTCAACTGAGAAGGACCATCAAGGCGCACCGTCGTTCTTCTCCCCGAGATTCATTATGCTATCTTGTCGATAACGAATACCTCCTGGTCCCAAGATGAACAAGCCGAAACAATAGAAGAATTTGAGTTGGCAAGGCTTTTCAAGAGTATCTGACCGAAAGGTTTCAAGTCAACTAGCGACAAGCAAGACCATGTTGTTGTACAAAAACGGAACCCCCGTCACATCGATTATCACCTATCTGCTTGTTGTCTGTAGTCTAAGAACTCTTCACCCGAATAATTCGTAACAGATTGGAACACGCAAAGGACAACCATGCGAGCAAGTTGGATTCCGAAAACGATTTAGCACAATCACATATCAAGGCTCACTGAAGTATCGCGAGAGTATAGGATGCCGCTCTGTCTCACATTCATCGACTCGATGAAGGCTTTTGATTCGGTTAAGTCTGAGATTATTATTGATGATTGAGCAACCAGTGTACCCCAGTATAACTGATCGTTCGTGAGCTGTACAACTTCACAACCACTGTCATACAAGCACATAATTTTTGACGTGAAGAGGAAACACGAGAAGGCGGTACCACATTGTTATCTTTTTTCCGTTGCTCTCGGACTTCAGGCGTACACGAGAATGCATCGACAAGGGAGTGAAGGTCGTTTTACATCTCATCGTGTTAGGTGATCAGCTGTACACAGAGTTCAATAGCTCAAACTGTTTACCTCTTCGCAAATAAGTTGCACACTTACCATCTGAAAAATATAAATGTTACGACAGGTTTCGTCGCTTTGGCCTCCCCCGATGTAGAAACGCTATACGTGTAGCTTTGGCTACTTCTGCTAGCCCTTTCTACATTGATAAGACGCAGTCCTATTCGATTTGCATTATCTGAAGCAGCAGGGATAAGCTTCATCAAATTCGATTAATGGAAAAAAGAATGTGGTTGTGTCTCTTGCAATGGCAATATGTGGATGTGCAAGAGCTTGATACGAGTAAATGAGCAAAAGAAAAGCACATACATTCAAAAATGTGCTGCTGATCCACTATAATGGGGATTTCAGGTATAACACATCTTGGATTGGCTTCTGTTCCTATCAGCACTACAGATTTTGGAGTAAGCAATGCTTTCACGCGGTTGAAGACCAGGAACTGATTCTTCATTGGATCATCAGGATGAAGTGGTAGGGAAGCATTCTGCAAATCTCGCATTTTTCTCAAAGCAGAAGCAATATGTGACCTTACATTGCCCAGTGGAAGGATGTGATTGCGTGCAAAACCCTCGTGCACTTTCAACAAGAATTCTGGTTTTTCACCTGAAGTTGTGTTAATCACTCACAAAAGCATGTCGGAGGTGTATTACAATTATTTTCAAACAGCGGCCATAAGTATCTTCTTTCTTGGAACTTCCAAATTAATGGATTTAGGAGAACAATATCCTAAATTAACAGATTCAACGGCACTAGTTTTCTTGTTACTAACTTGTACCTGACATAAAGACTGCAGAATAACCTCTGCTTTGGGCGACATCTCATAGTTTGGTGATGGCAATGTACTTTCACGGTTTCTGCGACATGATGACTTCCTAATTAAAGCCCATAGCAAACCTCCACAAAATGCAAGGATAAGTATAAGAAGCGGAATTGATACTTGCTGAATTTTCCGAAAATCTGGAAAATTACGAGTAATCGCAGAGAGCGAAAATGGCAGTCTACCTGTACGGGTAATACCAAATAACGACCGTGCGGAATCATTATCCGCATACATTGAATCTCTATTCCCGTGCTCCCTTTCCGCGGAGAGCTTTTTCGGAATATCAAGTAGTTTATCACCACCCAAAAGCTTGGGATTATTCCGAATCACAACTTCTGGGGAGTTCACCGAATACACAGATTGTAGCAGTGGAAGATCTACCCGAGTAAGATTAGAATTGTTTTGTATGACCAAAGCAGGACCTAGACCAAAACTTCGTTTCGATGTTCCAGAAGAAAGTTTCTCACCTCTTTTGAAATTTTCTATACTTTTCAAATTTGGAAGTGTGAACACCGAAAATCCAGGTGAGTTTTCTATTTTCAAAGATCCTTTTATATAAGCGACTGTTCGGACAGTACTCAAATTAACCGGCGTATCTGCAAAATCATTTTACATGTGAAATGCAATTGCAAATGCAACTTCTGGCCCCGAATCTTTTTAGAGATTAATGCAGTTATCGCTTATCACAGCCGCCTGATAAACGGTGGTCACCGCAAGGCAGTAATGCTTGAGCTCAGACTGGAACGTAATCCGCTCGAGCACTTGCAAGCGTTAACAAAAGCAAGCGGAATAGAGTCCTGAGCGTGGAGGGCGCATTGCGCAGTCTGCTAGATTTAAAGAGACATTGCTTTTACTTATGTTTACTTTGCTTTGAAGCATAGACAAGACTAATTCATTATGATTATAGTGCATTTCGAAATCACACTGAATCTGAAATTTGATTTGTTGCTTCCAAGCGCGCTTGGTCCCCATTTTTGGAAGGACCCCATGTCGCCATGGTGATTTGGAACGAAGTGCATATCCTTAAATTCGTTTTGCTGCGTTATCTCCAAGTCTACCTACCAACTGCTGTGCGGTTCTTTGAAAGAAGTTATGCGACTAAATATGAAATATAATATTACTAGGTTTCAATATAATGTGCTTCGAAAACCAGCCTGTGTGCGCATATGTATAAAAATTTTTAGTCAATTTGCTTCAATGAATAAGAGCCGGTTCCCTAATGCAGGATAATCTTTGTAACGGATTTGTTCTATAAGTTTTTCCCTCAAGAAGGCTTGGATCAGCAGCGTCTATCGAAGCTACCTATCACAACTAGACAGACTTACAGTCGACTAGATTTTCCGCTTAATATAGTGTGCTTGCGTTGTCGAGGAAATGCGGTAAAGTTTGCACGTAAATAAATAGTTACTCGTGCAAGGCTACATGGCGCAAACTGTCGGCGCAAGCGTACTTGTTCATTTGTCGGCGGAAGCGTACTTGTTACGCGTAAACCGTTTATCGCATTTATTCGGCACCTCAAGCACTCTATATTAAGGAACCTATTTGAATGCACACAAGAATTTTTCGTGCACAATTCTTATGATTTGATACTGAGACACATACCTGTGATATTACGAAATTCCAGGTCACCCCGCACTGATACACATCCATTGAATCTCCTCAACATGGCCAACCCAACAATTCCTCCCTCGCATACTGAACTGCTTCTTATTTAATGACGAAGGCTTTATTGGATACCAGTGCGTCATCTCTGCTTTGCAAAGGCTCGCACTGGCTCTACTATCTAAGCGCCTTACTCATTCTTGTAAAATCGTGGCACTGAAACTCACCGCGCTATGCCGACTATCACGAATAAAATGTAAACAACTACTCATTTAGAAGGCTCTTGACGTGAGACCGGTGATCGCGTCTATGAAACTTTTCGCAGGGAGACAAACGCAAATTTGAATAGGTTTTTAAATTTGTCATGGCGTGGTAGTGGCCATAAAGGCAATAGTCATCGTGGGCTACATCTCTGTGCGAAAATCTTCTCAAATGCTTGGCTAGAACCTTGGCAAATTGACCATTTACGCAACGAATTCTTTTGGCTCCATTTTCGTTATGTAGAAAACTTTTGCAAAGCTAAGTAAAGTTTGCAAAGCTTTTCAAACGGTGTAATCACAATTTTAGGAAGCATCAAAGAATAGTTGTCGCGTACCTGGCATAACTTATCAAGAAAGCGCTGCGGTCAAGTTCAAACTTCATAGTTGGTTTTGGCGGCTTGGGATAGCCTAGTATGAAAGTTTTCGAGCTGTTTGGTTTGCTTTTTGAGGCGAGATAGGGCCTTAATGGCTCAAAACTCTTCTTGAAGTTCCTACCGTAATCCCACAATAAGAAAGACCGATCGGTGGTTCGCTCCATACTGTAGATTTAAGTTGAAGCCAGCTTTAAATAATGGTGCCTGGAGGTAGGCAAAATACTATTTGGGAAAAGAGATATTGACGATCAAACAGTGTATACATACTTTTGGGACACCCTGTATATGATCATATATAGAAATAAAGAAATTCAAAGACATTGGATTTGTTGGTATATAGGTTCGCTATAAGACTATTTGAAGCGATGAGGTTGAAATTCACAGCCCTACAAAGTTCGACGCACATCCCCAATTTAATCGCCGGTTTTTCCAATAGCCAATTACGTGTCCATTGCAAGCCAATCAGCTTGCATTTCGACTGTTATAGTCATTCGAAATTAGCCGAGTCGGAAAACTGTCGCCTCAAGCATACTTCACACGATTTTAGTCGCGACTTGAGGTACCGAAATCGTGTGTATGCTCGAGGCCTATCACTGCTGAAATGAGAGGATCGGGGTGCAATGCACTGTATCGATGTGACTGTCTTGTCGGGAGAATCGCGAAGAAATGAATTGTGATTTATGCTCGGCCTTCTAAGCACTTTCTATTCTATGTTTCAGGAATTTTGAATCTACGTAATGAATCTTTTCTTGCGCCTAAGAACGTAAATTTCATCGGTCAGCATACTCATATTATGGACACATATCTTCCCTGCGACAAGGAACTGTGGTAATGGTAGGGGAAAAGGGACTACCAAGGACCAGTGGAGGTATCCGGCGAGGAAAGCACTATCAATCGAGGCAGCTAGTTGAAAGATGTGATGTGTATCACTGAACTAGTATCGCATACCATTCTCAAAAGTCGCATTAAAGGCAGTGTCAGGCAAATTTGGGGGCATGGGGGTTTTTGTTTGGAAACCGATGAGGGATTCCTAATTGAGGCACACTGCCCAAGTGGCAGTGCAGATGATTCATTCATGGCTGAGAAATCCGTCCTAAACACACATTCGCGCCTGCGCCGTGACCGTAACCCGGAATGACTCCGCTCACTCTAGGGTTGCGTTCATAGTGATCCGGATGTTCGGGAGCATTTCCAGCACAACGCACAGTTCCGTGTTCCCGAACTTCCGGATCAGTATGAACGCAGCCTAACACTACGTTCGCGCTGGGACTCGTCTCAGGTCACTCGTGAGTTATGGTCACGGCGCAGGCGCGGGGTGTTTGGGGACGGATTTCTCAGCCGTGAATGAATCATTTGCGCTGCTGTTTGAGCAGTGCTTCAGAGTTAGGACCCGCTCATCAGTTTCCAGGAATAAACTCATGCAAACAGATCTGCCTGGAACTGCCTTTAACTGCTGAACGCGTTTTTGAAGCTAGGCAATAACGATTGAATGCGACGATCAAGTCGCGTGAGTTCTGCCCGAGGCCTAAACTTCGGGCAGAGTTCACGCGATTTCATCACCGCGATACCCCCAACAAGAAAGTCAGTTACGAGTCCATTGCATGCAGATCATCTTGCATTTCGGTTGTGATAGTCAGTCACGATTGGTCGTGTTGGAAAACTATCATAACCGAAATGCCAGATGATCTTTATGCAATAGAAACGTGGAGAATCGAGGCGATAAAATCTCGTGAACTTTCACCGAGGCCCTAACGAATGGTGTTGATATGGCCAGACTTATGAGATTGTCACAAAAAGCGTTTCGCAGATAAGGACTGCAACTTTGAAATTGGCATCCTACATTGATTCCAGCAACGTTCTCACCTTTAATGTCCGCTCCGACTAAGAAGTGCTTTCCCCGGAAGAAATTCCATACGGTAGGTCTGGCTTAAGTTGTCGCAGCCGAAGTACCGTTTGCGCAAAACACAAATCGGTGATGGGCGGCAAACATGCAATGCTTCGCTACCAATAAATAGAGTTGAAAACCGACCGGTGGGCATATCCGAGTAAAACTAAAGCACTCCAAATGATTTTGCTTGGCCTTGGCTTACAGCTGCTTATTCATTGTTGACGGGAGCACTGATAAAGATAAGATTGAGTGGATTTTCTTTTCCGACACGAAATATCTGACCGTTGACATCAAGAAACATAGAGGAGGAAAAGATTTTAGGGATTACTATAGCATATTTTACACAGGTTCAACCTTCACCAGGATCAAGCGTGGGGTGTGGCACGCCACACCTGGGGGGTCGTATTGAGAAGTGAGAAAGGGAAGGGGTCGTAGTTGGTAATCCGATAATAGTGATAACATGATATTCGTATCATAGCATGTCGATTAACCCCTGTAGACAAATTTGGTCGAATTCTGAAGATTCAAGATGCTAGGCTACCTAAGTGAAATTATCAATTTCCAACATGATTAACTTTGTTTCAGTGGTTAATTAGTTATCCGTTTTTGCACTCAAAAGGAAGCACTACTCCTTCTTTGTCCATCTCAGAAATCCCGCTTCAAAAGACCTCCAAACTGTGGAATTAGAAGCCAGCCAAAATCTCATTTTCCCCATTTTCCGCTTACAATCTGTGCTTTCACCAAATATTACTCAGAGCTGGGAAGACGAATCAGGCTTGAAACATTTCTATGGAATTTACGAGGTTTAGGCTATCGATTCATATAAATACTGTTCGCTAAAAATGTTTTTTTTTTGATATAGTTAATGGGGCTGGCACACCCCCTTAAAAGCTGTGGCTGCCACAATGTGCAACATATCCATAATGAGCAGGTAGCCTAGTATCTTGAATCTTCAGAATTCGCTCAAACTTTGCCTACAGGTGTTAATTGACATGCTCATTATGGAAATGTTGCCCATTATGTTTGGCAGGGCCTCAGTAATGCTATCTTAGGTATATAATTAAGGGGGGAGGTCTTATTAAGACAGCAATCAGGGGGGGGGGGGGAGTCGTAACCAGCGATCGTGTGCCGCACCCCTTGCTTGACCTTCACTTTTGTGGGATGCGGTGCTTCGAACAACCTTCTTTTTTGAGGCTTTACCTCAGACTATTTATATGTTTTTGCAGAAAATGGATTGATGGGACAGTCTTGAGCACGAGGACCTCTACAGACATGAAGAGAAAGAAGTGAACAACGGAATACGCTTCAAAAAAAGCAGGATTGCGTACTTGCATGGCTAACAATAGAGGTCGGTAGGCTTCTGCTGGAAAAGGGAGGGGGGGAAGAGAAATCTCTTCTATCTTGTTGTGCTTGGAGCTCTAGACCAGACTTCAGTTGACCCATTAAGGGGTATAAATTGTTCAGGTATGATTCGCAACATTTGTCAATGTTTTGATCGCACATTGAGATATTGAGTGAGAGGTAAAGAAAAATCCATAGAGCAATACCCTCTCTTTTTTGGTCCTTTCGAACTGATCGTAACCCGATCCACACTTACAGCCAAGTTTGTACCAATGCGGCACTGATTCTGCATTAACTCTTGATAGGCAAATTCACTAGCGGCAGTGTGTGGGATAGCTGCCAGAGTGAAAGGAAAATAGCTTGCACATGTTTCATAGCTATTAGGTTGTTACATGAGTCTTGTTACACTGTAAACTCTTACGGCGACAAGTCATGCACCTCATAATCTTTACAGGCTCCAGGGTACCATTCGATAGAGCAAAGCAAGCTCTACAAGATAGTGTGCAAAAGTTCGCACCTTCGATCCACCGTAAGTTTGCATGCAATATCTGAGTCGTACTGAAGACTCAAAAAATCGCGAAAAATTCATATATTTGTTCAAAAAAATCCAAAAAATTCAAAAAAGCTAACTTCAGCATTTTCGAAGACTAGGGCCAGGGCTCGGCATGAGGTGGCTTTTTCAATTTCTCAAAAACGAATTCCCTGTAGACTTCGGCAGAAAATTACGACATCACCTATGACGCGATCGTGGATGTATCAGAACGAATAACGAAAAAATAATGGAATAAAACATAAAAGCAACTTCGAACAGACGAAAAAAACTAAGGATGTTCGTTTTCTCCGAATTGGCAGCATGCTGTGTCCGGCGCGCACCTTTGTGCGCTTGGAGCAGGCTTGCCGCCGCCATACAAAATATTTGGAGGGCTGTAACTAGGCAAGGAAGAGGGGGTTTGGGGAGATTCAGAGACTCAGCTGTAAGGTTTTTGATGTAGAATAAGGTTATGTTAAACATGTGAGGGTACTATCATAACTTATAATAACGGGCTAAGGGTGTTTACGTGTTTTTGTGTGTGTGTGTGTGTGTGTGAGTGTGTCTGTTACGAAATTCGTAGAGCAGTTTCCAGCCAACCTTTTGAGCCCAAATTTTGCATAGCGCATGCTACCTTCATAGAATCCCAATATGCAAAAGCACGAGTAGATT